AGGCTGGGCACCAGTTACAGTTCCATCTGTAATCTTTGTAGAATTTTAGGAAGAAGTGAAGCCACACATAGGAAAAAAACATAACTGAGGGGTTTCAACACTGGCACTCATAAAGTCAGCTGATTTCATCCTGCTTCACATTTTGCTTTTCTCTTGAAAGCATGGAGGGTTAGCCACAGTCAGTTGCGGGATATTGCCAGATGATCTTTAAAAAAGGGAGGTCATGAACAAAGAAGCCAAACCAGGAAAAACAGAAACAAACAATCAAAAAGCAAAACACAAAAACAAACCCTCTGACCACACTAGGCCACTAAATAAAGAATTTTTACTTACTTCAATGCAGATGCATCTAAGATTTTATATATATATATATATATATATATATATATATATATATATATATATTCTCTTCATTCCATTTTAAAGAGAAAGACCACATCAGGGTAAGCAATGCAGGGTGGTCAGACATATAATCTAATGAGAGTGTGTGAAGCCACTACAGAAGGCAGCAGGAGCATTGCCAGACTGTGATGGGGCCACATGGCTGATTTCTATGCAGAGCCCACCAATATTTTCCAAGTATAGACAGCTTTTATTGAAATGAAAATAGAAAATGCAGGCCCAGTGCCCACATGAAAAATTTAGTGTAGTAGACACATGAAGCCTCCCATGGAAGGAGAAGGTATTTGGACTTTTTTCCCCATAACAGCAAAACGAGCCTCCTTCTGAAAGCTCTTTGTGATTAGGCTGAAAGCTCGTTGAGTCCTGCAGATGGGAGACTGAGTTGAAGCCTGTTTACTGACAAGATAGTCTATGAGCCACTGGGTTTGTTTGCAATTATGTAGTGGAAACATATGAAGAATCCATGGAGATTTATAAGAAATGATTAGCTAAAATGATGAAAGAATAGTCAACATAGGACTTGCTCACCTTTTTCAACCCCCTGTTCTGTGTCTTAGAGCATACTGTTTATCTAATCTTTAAATTACTGGAATGCCAGAGGAGAGTGAGGATTCAACCGATTTGAATATGGTGAGTTAATATCCTGACAGTACAGGTGTTAATAAATGAAATTCGTCAGAGGTGAGAAAAGATGTAGGAGAGGAGTCAAAAGGGAGAGCTTTTGTTTTCTCATACGTGTTTGCTTCTGTTTGTTTGGAAGTACTGACTTGCTTGGAACTAAAAAGCAAATGAATCCCAAGATGGCTTCCAACTCATAATGCCGGTTCCTCAGCGCAACTACCCACACACTCAGAGGGCTAGGACTGTAGGAGTGTGCTACCGAGCCTGATTCCTCACATTACTTTGAATTCTGTGGGCTCTCTGAATTTCCATACCAGGGTAGGAAATAATAATAATCTGATGACTTGTGAACATCAGGCTGCCAGAGAGAAACCTATGATGATCTTCATAGCTCCTGCTACAGTACCCATGCTTGCCCCATGCATCAGATGCAGCAAATCAGAATTTCTGAGGATGGCAGCCAGGCATCAGTCATTCTTAAAGGTACCCAGATGGCTATAACAATCCGCTTAGGTAAAGGCTCAGCTTGTTTCATTCTTCTCTGTTCACCCTCTTCCCTCCATGGAACAAGGCCTCACACCTGCAGGAGGTTGCATCCCTTACTGATACAAAATGACACAGGATGTGATTGGGTGGGTGGGGGGGGTGTCAGCTTATTCCAACCATTCATGGGTACTTATCTTGCTTCAGGGTTCTTATAAGCCTCTTTCTAGGCTGCAGCCACTGAGAGAGCTTATGGGAAGGAACATAAATGCTAGATTCTCAATATTTGTGCATGTTAAAGATCTAGTGTTATAGACACATTCCCCATGATGTGTTTTGTCCTCTTCAAGGGATGCTCAGATGCTCTTCAAGTTACACTTCCAGTTGAATTTATTTGCTTGCTATCCCAAAGTGACCTGCAATTACTTTCATTTTAGCAGTTAGGAAAATATTGGTTTCTTGGATTGCTTTGGGCGAAATCAAAGTATTAACCTTGTATACTGATTTGGCTACTCTGTGCCCAGTTTATGGGTGAAACACTAGTCTAGATATTGGTGGGAAGTATATTTTAGATACAATTTATACTTAAATCAGTAAACTTTGAGTAATGTAGACTACCTGCAGTAAGGAGAGAAGGTTCATCTAATCTGCCAAAGGTCTTCAGAGTAGATGCTGGGGTTCCCAAAGAGGAACTGATTCTGTTGGCAGCATGAAACTTCTGACTTGCTGACCTGTCCTCTACATCTCAGCCTTAGGACCACAGCATCCCTTATTCAAATCTCCACCCTCTGGCCAACTCTGTAGATTCTGGGCTTGCCAGCCTTTACAACTTAAGAGCAAGTTTACTTAAAACCCTCCCTCCCTCCCTCCCTCCCTCCCTCCCTCCCTCCCTCCCTCCTTCCTTTCCCACCCTCTTTCAAAGGACACCTTTATCTCTTCAATATCTGCTATATTTCCCATTGGCTCTATTTTTTTTTAAAGAAGGATTTCAAATGACCATGAAACAGTATCCTTGGGGGGGGGGGTGGTTTCAGGACCTCCCTTCCTTTGAGCATCTGCAGATGCCAAAATCTTTGGGTAAAAGGGTATAATGTTTACATATAATTTACACATCGTCCTCTATACTGAAAGTATTCTCAGTACTATTTGCAATACCTAGTACAATGCAAATGCTATGCACCTTATTGTTCTATTGCTCAGAGGGTAATGTCAAAAAGTCAGAGTGTGTTTTCAAATGTTCCTAGGCCTCAGTTAGTTGATTTTGTGGATACAGACACAGAGGACATAGAGAGCTGACTGAAATTACATTTGCTGTCACTTCTCTTTCCCAAGAGGGCTCCGAGCTCCTTCTCTTCACTTTTCATAAAGTTGGCCCTACAGTTTGCTCCCCTCAATTACTATAGTCAGGACATTTAAGAGCCATTAAATAGGGGCACAAACTAGACAGTAGAGTGCATTCTGCAATTTGAATTTTTAAAACATTTTTCTTAAATGTTTTCTTCATGAACATCTAGGTCACCTATCTGCACCACCCATAGTTTTGCTACTAATCATCTTCAAAGCTAAGTGAAATAACTTTGGCTCATCTCTGAAGTCTTAGTGTCAGTGACTTGTCTTCCCAGTTTGGATAGCAGATAGCACTTAAAATTGCCACCTGCTTCTGGTCATCCAATGAAGTAAAGATAGCAGGGGCAATTTGGGAGATGAAGGTATTTTATTTAGCATCTTTCGGTGACTCTTATGTGGCTTTATCTTGTCTCTGTTCATACTTCTGGATAAAAAAAAAATAAAAACGGGACTATATTTTCTTCTAAAATACATATATTGGATCATTTAAATAAGAACCTAAAACTGAAGCACAATAATTGCTTAAGTCGTTAGTAAATGATACCCAACCTGGTATGAGAAGGAAGCAAGTATCTCAGTCAATACTGGTATTAGCTTTGTGGCATGATGAAACAAAGAATTTAAAAAATTCTGATCATTTCAAAGACCTTTGGTCCTTGCCTCTTTACTCAGTGTTATCAGGATCTCATTGGCTTGTTTACTATACGATATTGTGAATATTAACCATGTTACCCACTATTGCCACAGGCCACCAGGACTTGGTTAATATAATTAGAAAACTCTAAGTTATGATAAACATCATAGGCATTGACTGGAACAGCATGGGCTACTTCTGGGAGCCTTAGAATTAAAGATATGCTTTCTGTATATCAAAACAGCCTAAAAGGCCCTGGCTTTCAAAAATGTGCTTCCCTTTATCCCATAATCCTTACAGTATTTTCCTGGCAACTCAGCAAACCCCTTAAAACTGAACAAAATTAGGATTTTGTGCTTCTATGTTTACAAAAAGAGCCTATCAGGCTGACAAACTTGATAATCTTAAAAAAAAAAAAAAAACCTGTTCTCATTTCAAAGGTCCAGAAAATAAAGGTTATTTACTATACAGGCCTAGACTTCTTGTTAAGTCGTTTGTGAGATAGCAAATTAGAAAAACATGGCCAGAGTTAGAGGTTACTCAATCACGTTGAAGCTGGGCCTTTCATTCCAGAAGCTCTTGTTCCCCAAATTATATCTGATAATGTCCTAAAGTGTAAACATATTTTAGTTCAAAAAGATACCCAGAGATTCCTAGGATGAGACCAGTGGATTTAGCTCCTGATCTCATTAGATGCATGTGTTCAGGGTAGTTCTTAGTAACCCCCAACTCTAATAGTTGAGGAACTGAAATTTTGAGTTAGGGAGTTTTTTTTTCCATTTTCCTGTCACAATCACATTAATAAGGGGGTTGGTGCACTGGCTAATGCTAAGGCCTGTCATTTGGGCAAAACCATGGCATCAGAGCAGAGCTGAACATATGCAAGGGTAACCTAATCCCAGTCCCAGTGTGTCAAATGGAAGAGAAGTCACATGTCATTAGCCACAAGGAGAAAAATACCCCTAACTCTCTGATAGAATCTGCACTTGCAAAGTAGAAATGCCATCTAAGTTTGCCAGCAATTCAAGTCGTGTTGGTGGAAAATCTTCCCTTGACTCAGTTTTAAAAGTATCATTATCTCCAGAACAGTATGGTGCCTACAAACTTAGAAACAGCACCATCCACTGAAGTGTGCTTCAGAGACAGGAGGGACCTCGTCTGGGAACACTTTGAGGGCATCCACATGGGTGGGCAAGCATATGCTGCTCTGAGTAGAGGAAGTGGCAGACCACAATTTCTTCCTAAGTGCGAGGTCTTTATAAACTCATCCTCATGGGGGCTGTTTTAAATAGAAAGAAAATGACACACAGTCCCCAACCAGGCTTCCTAACCATTTGAAGAGGGCTGCCACTTTCCCAAAACATTAGGTTACTGTGGGGGAATTTTCCAAAATTGTCAACAATTCCATTTTTAAACTGGGTTTTTCCTCCCAACCCAAGACAGATGCAGTACAGCCTGGATTATGTTTGGTCTAGTAGGAGATGGGAATTATTTTTACTGTGCTGACTCCTACCTGACAGTGGAAGACATATTCTGGTGTGGTTTTCTTGAACTTCATGTTCCACACCAAGGCCACACCATCTGGTTCGTGGGGAGCATCTTCATTGTTGTTGTAAGAAGCAACCATCAGCTCAGGGTACTAAATGAAGGAGATTACAAGGATTCATTACATTAGGATGATAGCATAGGAATTTTCTCATGATCTTCCTGCATCTATGTCTTCAACATATTCTATCAGCGTATACCACCCAACTGCCTCACAAGAAATTTCTCTTCCTACATACTTGTGCTGTGTTACACATCTCAAGTGGTCATATCTTTTAAAATTTTGGCACATTAGTATCAAATCAATACACCTTGTTTTTTTTGTCTCTCCCATTTGTTTGTGCATGAATGGTTATCAGACGGGAAACACGCGCGAATCCTATAGAATCAGTCGCTTTGGCCTACCCTCTCCTTTCTTCTACATTGGTTTCCATGACAACTTTCTGTTCTGATTTTCTTTCTTTGCTGCTTTGCAAAACCCATGCAGACTCTTCTTTTGTTACATACATTCCTAGACGAGGCTTGTTTCTGATTTCTTAGCCTTTCCTTTTATTTTTACCTTCTTTCTAGGTGATCCTGTCAATCCCACAGGCTTTTAAAATCTTAATATGTTGATGATCTCCAAATTTCTCTGTAGGCTTGCTATTTCTCAGAGTTGTTGATATTAGTATTTGACTGCCCACTGGGGGTTGCTCAGGATGTCAGGAATCTTAACAGTACCAAGAGGGATACATAGAAATTATACTGATAGGCTTTCTCAAAAAGCTCACTGCTCACCTAGTGCTCCTTGTGATTGTGTCTTATACATGGTGTTCACCTAAGTGGCCCAGCCAGATAATCTATTTTCATCTTTACTCTTTCCTTTCTCTCCACCCACATTCTGTCTATTACTAAGTACTTAATACATTTTGAACCTCCATGTTGTTTTCATTCTTAAGGGCAGAGACAACTAAATTAACTTCTTGTCTGATGAGAGAGGGTATCAGACTCCTGGGTAGCTTCCTGTTCTTGGGCTTTCCACAGCCTATGCCCATCTATTCCCTACTCTAACCTTTGCTGGATGAATTTGTCAAGTATATATTTGTTAAGTTTCACTCAGCTTGGCAATTACGTCTTATCGTGGCTTTCAAGGGAAAATCCAAATCATGTAAAATCCTTTCTGGTGTGCTTTTCTATATTGCTCCTTTACCCACGAACTCTTCCTACCCAGACTCATCAGCTAACCATGAGGCACACAGGTACTAAATATCTCTGTATCTAGGACTCTGCTCTCATGCTCACTGTGAGATCTGTCTGTGTTGCTTACCTCATTTACTCACCTTTGAGACTCAATGAAGATTCTAAGCCCTCTAGACAATCCTAACCATCTACCCCTCCCTTGCCTTTTAACACCCTTATGTTTTTATGCCCCTATTATAGCACATGTTCAATTGTAGTATGTTCCTTCTTCACTGTGTATTTCCCTAAATCACAACCTCTTTGAGTATCAGGACTACAGTGTTATTGTTGTTTTACTTCTGAACCCATAGTTGAATAAATCCCAACATATGATGTGTGTAGGTAAAAAAAAAATCAATTGAATAATTTGTAACTTTTTTAGCTTAGGGACACTTTTATTTTAGTAACTCTGTGATCACTATTGAATCATTTGTTATCAAATACCACAGTAATTAAATTCCTTAATATAAGAAGCATAATCATACTATAACAAGGAGGGCTCTAAAGCAGTGGTTCTCGGCATGTGGGTCACAACCCCTCTGGTAAACCTCTGTTTCTAAAAGTATTTATATTACAATTGATAACAGTAGAAAAATTACAGTTATGAAGTAGCAACAAAAATGATTTTATAGTTTGGAGAACTATACACAACAGAACTGTATTGAAGGGCCACAGCATTAGGAAGGCTGAGAATCACTGCTCTAAACATATGTTGAAAATACCTCCTCACCCTACATGAACTCTGTTCAAAGTGTGATCAAATAAAGACAACGAGACTTGTGAGCAATATCTAAGTTAAAACACATTTCACACTAATGCCCTTCTTACCTGGTCTTTTCATGAGTGACTCTGTTACATACCAAAATTATTGTAGCTCATATGAATCTCTCCTCACATATGATCTAGTTTTCTCTCCCTGTTGCCTATGCTATGTATATATTCAAATAGAATAATACTTATGTAAATATGAATGTTGACTGTTTCTTCACATGAACCATAGCTAAATCTGTCTTCGATGTGGCTTTACTCATTCTTTCAACTGCAGAGAGTCACAGTTTACTGGTTGCTACAGGGGAGGTGTAGGCAAACAACACACATGGATGTGGCCACCAAGGGAAGTCATCATTCTTTATTAGAAAATGCCCCTTAGCAGATGAATCAAAGCCTATTAAGCAAGGCCTTTGATTCAGAGCCCATTCAATGAAACTAACATCCAGATAAACACAGAAGTCTCCAGACTGTCCATCTGAAGTTTAACTATGTCACATGTGAAAAGGCAAGTCTATAAACACTGACACCACTACCGCAGGGGCCAGCAAGCAGCCAGATGTGTCTGCAATAGCATCCTTCACATCTGGGTCTCATCGTTCACACCCACTTGCAGGTTTTCTTCTTTCTTTTCCATCTAAAAATATTTTAACTTGTTTGGCTTTTAAGTTTCTTTAGCAAACAAGCAGTGAGTTAGTGAAAACACCAGGAAAATGCCTTTGGCAAAGTTCCCTATAACAGGAATTATAAGGTGTAGAGGGACTGACTTACATCTTATTTCATGTTGACTGTTATGATTTCTTATTGTACATATTTTTTTTTTAAAAAAACCTATTTGTTTGAGCATGGCTAGCCATATGTACTCATTATCAAGTTTCCAAGCAATTATGGAAATTTAATGCTTAAAATTATGCTTTTAACAATTGTGGAATTTCTAGTCGTTTAATTACTCATAAGGACTGGATTGTCCCATATTTAACTTAAAGAAATTTTACCTAGAAATTACTAGCTTTGCTCTCGTCAAGCTAAGTCTTCAGTAGAAATAGAATCTAACATTTCCTAGACAGAAAAGAGCCCTTATGTTCCAGACATTGAGCTGGGCAATGTCTTAACTCACTTGTTACTCATGACTCTATAAAGAATGTAATGGTTTTCTCCTTTGTGCAGACAAGGAAGATGAGCCCTTGGGGTAGTGACATGTTCCACGTCACATTACTTGTGAATGACAAGGTGAGGAATGCTATGGAAGTCAGTTGAGCTCAAAGGGCTACATCTCCTTTTGTTCACAGTGGCATTGTGTCCAGTGCTGTCTGTACATAAATAAACTGTGGCATCAGAGACAAAATGGGACAAGAAGATTCATGTTAATGTATTCTGTTTTGTGGGAGCTCGCCCTTGGCTCACCATTGGGAAATAGCACACATGTAGGAATAGGATCAGCCCAGACACCAAAGCAGAAAGATGTGTAGTATGAAGGCAGTATCTGCAAGCTTCTGTAGAAGCTTGGGCATGTGGTGGGTGTGGAGATGGCTCTCCACACACCCTCCACACACTGTCATTAGGGGTAGGCGTTTCAGCTGGGAGACAGCTGGGGAGGACATTTGAGAAATGGCAATGGTGACTTGGTGAACTTTAAGGAGAGAAGTGGGAGGTGGCTAGCCACAAGAGTAGGAAAACAGGTGAGGAAATTCTTCCTGAATCTGGCTGGCTCACAGGATCCTCTGTTGGGAATCACTCCATCCTACACGGATGCCCAATATCCCAGAAATGACTAATCGCAGAGTTGACACTTGGCCCATACAAGCTAATGATGTTCTCTATCTTAGAGATACATTTTCAAGGGGACAATGTTTATTGATGAGGTCCCTCAAACTGCTCAGATGCTTTTTCCTTTGCAGGTCTTCACCTTTTCCATGGATTCTCAGTTTACATTACTAGCTTGCCAATAATTTTCCCCTTTTAACTTAATCTTGCCAGAAGAAACTTTTATTAAAAAATAAAATATTCAAAGGACATTTTGTAGGCTCTGTGAAGAGATATAAAAGAAGAAACATCTAAACATCCTCAGGGCATCATCACAAAAGTTCTTGAGTCCAGGTAAATATTTTTGAAATTTACTTTGGGGGGGCAGGGAGTAGGGATCATATTCTTTGAGTACTAATACCACTGTGACCACTACTTTAACTACATGTCACATTTATTGAGTGCTTTCTATGTACCAAAAATTTAAAACACCCAGTCCACTAGATATTTAATACCCACAGTAAGCATGAAAGCTAGATATCATCATTTATCAGCACTTCTTAAACAAGAAAGTTCAAGCCAGTAGAAGTTAGAAAACTTGCCAAACATTTAACTATACAATAAGTACAAGAGAAGGAAATTAAAGAGACACAAATAGGAAATAAGTCAAATTATACCTATTTGCAGATGATATAGTTGTTACCCATAAGAAATTCCAAAAAAGTCCAACAGAAAACTTCTAGAAATTATCAACAAATTGAGCAAAGTGTCAGGATAAGAGTCAGTTTACTAAAAATCAGTTTCTATATGACAATCACAAGCATAGTAAGAAGGAGATTGTATGTATACTCCCACTAGCTTCAAAAAATATTAAGGAATAAAGGCAACCAAGGAGATGAGAGAGCTTGTGGTGGTTTGAAAGAAAATGGCCCCCAAAGGTAGTGGCACTATTAGGGTGTGTGGCCTTCTTGGAGGAGGTGTGTCACTGTGGGGCAGGCTTAGGGGTCTTTTTCTTAAGCCCCCCTCAGTGTGATCGGGGAGTCCATTGCTGTTGCCTGCAAGATGTAGCAGTCTCAGCTCCAGCTCCACATCTGCCTGCTCACCACCATGCTCTCCTTCATGATCGCACTGAACTGAACCCCCGAAACTGTAAGTGAGCCACCTCAATTAAATGTTCTTCTTATAAGAACATGGTCATGGTGCCTCTTTGAAGCACTAGTAAGCCCCTAACTAAGACAGATCTCTAGAACAAAAACTTTAAATGTCTGAGAAAGATTGAGGAAGACGCTAGAAAATGGAGGGGGAAAAAAAAAACCATGTTCATAAATTGGTAAAATTAACGTGATGAAAATGTCCATTCTATTA